GTCTCCTTTTTATAAATAAACAGAGATGTAAATCATAAGAGACGAAATCTTGTTTATTATCAAACTTCGTTTTCCTTCGAACACATCGATTGCTAATATTCAACTTGTGTTAAACCTATGAAGGGCTACTTAAAAAGTATATTTTTATCCTAATTAACTGTTGAGTTTTTTAATGATATAGACAATCTTCATATATCGCTATGATGAGCTTTATGATTTTTAATTATACATTTTAATAATTCATCTTGTTTCTTCGGTATATTTTCCAGTTTTTCAAGATTGACGAAAAATATTCTTGCGAAGACAACGAAAAATGTACAAATTGTTTGTCTTTAATTACCAAAGTTTATTACAGCGACTGAGACTTCTACGCCAGACGCTACTTGAATCTTCTGTTCTCGTCACCAGATATTTTTTTTTTTGTTACAAATTATATGTATGATTTTCTCTTTTCTGTTTTGTCGACAGAATAAATGTGAAAGAAATAAAGTCTTTTTAAGTTGTAATTTTATATACTCTTTACTATTTTAGTCTCTTTTTTTTTCAATCTCTACAACAATGCAATCTGTATTTTGGAATTTGAATATTTACAGCACTCGAGACGTAGCAGAACGCACTGGAAGCTATTCAGGCACTTATTTTGTTAACCTTTCCGGGATATTTGGAACGTTTTTGACAACAAATAAGAATCTATGTTCAAATTTGACCTCACACATATGAAAATGTATCAAAAAATATCGCTGTCGCGGCACCTCTTCGTTCTGAGATGCTACAACAGCAAACACGCTGTCTGAGAATGAAAGGGAATGAAACATTAGGTATCTTTGTAAGCATTGTCTTTGGGAATTTTTTCATAGATGCGATTCAATTTACATTTTCCTTTAGGTTCGATAAACACAGAATATGAAAAGATAGAAATAAATAGTCCCATTCTTTTAAATGAACTAATACACTTCGTTGTTGAAGTATACGGCAAATCCGTCCAATATATATACTTCTCTTTTCTTGCTTTGTTACACCCGAAGTGCATTGGGTTAGTATTATAGCCTTTATAGCACACACTACAGCACAGTATGATCAGCTGGTTAATTTGCGATAGTAACAGTGGATAAAATACTAAAAAAATGTCTTCTGAACAGAACCATAGTTTTTCAACGTCACTAGATTTAATTTTTTTTTTTTAGTTTAGTATTTATTTCATTAACTTATTATTTTTATTTTTTGTCGCTTTTTAGTTTTCATTAATTAAAAAATACTGATAGAGTTACTTCATCTTTAAGTGATTTTTAACTGCTGCTGATATGATATAGTGGGTGCCTGTACTTCTTTTTTTTCTTTTTCTTTTCAGGAGGCACTTGAACACTGAATATTTAGTAAGTTTTGGGTATTCAATACTTACAAATCTGTAGAGCACACCTCGACTGAAGCTTAAAAATCAGTAACATTTCTTTTATCAAAAGAATTAGTTTCATTCCATATCGCTTCAGCATATAAGCGCATTTAAATGCTATTCCTTTCAAATATATAATAAAACTGAAGTGGGATTTGACCATCACACTTATAGTGCATCCACGATCACAAAATGAGGAGAGAATGTTTTTGTTCAGTTATAGGGCTCGAACTATTGATTCACAATCCAGCACGTTAACAGCTCAGTAACGCTCAGCCCCTCTTACGATCTAGGCCATAACTTAGTTTCCTCGTGGTCTGTTTTAATGTATAAGTCATTTCACACCCTTCCTCTCTAGCTTATACAATCATGTCATATCCTGTATTTTCCATACCACTCTTGTAGAGAGACAAGTTGAATATTAAAGTAGAATTTCATCGTTGTTCTTTAAATTCTTATTACTATATTTTCTTATGGGTATGGGTTAGTATGGGATGTAGGAGCTAGCGAGTCCGTGCGATAACACAAAATATTCCACGCACTTTAAGTTGTGGCTGCGTTACAAGACTGACAGAAAATTCTTAGTATGGATAGTGGTAGATAGCGTGATTCTGACTGGATTAAACTTGGATTAAAGTCCAATACATCTCAAGTTTTTGCTTGTTCTTAATGTTTGAATTCAATACATTTTCGACACTATTCTGTTCAACATGTTAGTTATATTCTAGCATAAAATTTTCGACGTTCATTCTTCTTATTGTGTTCGACGTTTGGGACTAGGACCGATCAGATAATATTTGAAATTATCGATCTAGCCTTGATGTAATATTTGGCCAATAAAGATACTATGTCTTCTTGGGACATTTTTTTATAAATCTTATACTTTATCATTCGGGATGTTTTGTAGAGAATGGATTATAATATCATTAAGGGTGTAAGTTTCTGTGTGATGCTTTTTGGTAACTTGAAACCAGGGAGTTTACTTAATAGAAAAGGGAGTTTTTTTAACACATGCCCAAGGAAAAAATATTCTACTTAACAACCATTTTTCGAACAACTGTTCTTCATAAGGTTTTGCAAGTCTATTAATAGAGCAAGGTGCCACTCGTTTACGTTAATGAAATTGTTCAAAATAGCTGCCTATAGGGAAGCAAATTGGTGTATGGCTCCAAATTTTCAAAATGCTTACCTATGTAATGAAACAAGAATTATTTTATCGATTTCCCAATATTCCAGAAATGTAAGTAGATCTAAATATTAGACTCTATAGAATTATACTGTTATAAAATGATGTATTATTTCTCTCAATCCTCTGTATGATGTATCTCAACTAGACTTGATCAAGTCCTAATAGTAATACCAGAAAGTTTTTAAAAGCTAAATTTTATTTCAGTAAAAAATAAACCCAATTTTTGAGTCATGAAATTATTTGAATTAAAACAGCCAAAGAACTGTACAAAATTCATAGAATGTGTAAGCACAGTTTGAAAACAAAATGTTTATGTACCTGGCTAGTATTAAAAGCTCTTTAATTCCTAACACTGTACCGATGTTGTTTGTTATCCCAAACCCACCACCTTAGTTAACACCGCAGCACTTGCTTTCATTCGTCATATTTCCTACCACATACAAAAAAGGTTTGCGTTAAAATTATTATGCTTTTACAAAGTTTAAATATTGTCAATAAAATTCTCAATTCTTATTAAATTAACACTAATTGGCACGCACAAAACCTGTATCATGTTTATTGTGTTAAAATTATTTAAAGACAGTATGAATATAAAATCATGTAATGAATATAATAAAAAAAAACATGTGAAACCATGGTGAAAACTTAAATATGTTACTTCTATTCAAATATGATCGTATTCATAGTTTACTGTAATTTCAGTTATTTCATACAATTTCATGAAATATAAGAAAATGAAATATACACCTATAAGATGATGTGAGCACTTCATGAAATGTACACTTATAAGACGATGTAAGCACTTCATGAAATGTATAAGTCAAATGCTCAGTTCATTTAAATTTCCGCCCGGTAGCTCAACGGTAAGTCTATTTGCTTATAACTCTAAAAATCGGGTTTCTATACCAATGATGGGCAGAGCGCAGATAGCTCATTGTGTAGCTTTGTACTTCCAAGCAAATAACTCATTTAAATTTTATAAAAATGTATTGATACTTACAGAGAGATTAAACTATGATAAAATGTTTGGCCCATATACATCATTTATGCGACATTACTTCCAGTGGAAAACACTAATATAAATATACTGAAATAATAGCATTTCGAAAATACACACAGTCTTCTTATGATGTGCACGGCTGACTACTTGGCAGCACCATCGAGTTAATAGCACAAAGTGAATGTACTACAGCGTCACCCTCCCTCTACTCCTTATTAAGACTCCCTTGCTTGAAATGTTTATAAATAGTAATATAAACTATATGCTGTATAACTCCCTTAAACGCTTACTACTTTTTTTTTGGATTTTAAATAAATGTTTGATATGACAAAAATATATCTGTTTTATTCCTCTATATTCATAAATACATGTGTGTGTTTTGTAGGTGTAAATAATGCTTAAAACTTTTGAAAATGTAGGAGAATTGCATTTGTTTGAAGTTTCTTTTTGCTTAATTTGGTTCTAATTATAGAAAACTTTGGGGTCAAGCAGAGGCGGATTAACGTTTTGTGAGCCCCTAGGCCCGCGTACATTTTGAGTCTGCCCCGCCTCTCAAACAAAAAAAAAGTGAAAAAAAATTTTATTATGACTTTATGGTGTATTTTTCTTACTTATTATTCTTACAAATGAGCCATTGCAGTTTTAACTTTTATAACATTATACTCTTGGTTACAAACATATTGTTGCGATCAGAGCCGTATCATCCATTAGGCACAGTGCCTAGAACCTACAAAAGTATATTTCAAATCATTTAAGAAATTTAAATATTTTAAAATTATAAAAATAAGTATAAAAAATATAATTTTATTTTATTTTAAGAGAAGAAAACGAAACAATAAGAGGAGGTTTTTTTCAAACATTAAA